AGTTCTCGAACCTGCGGGCTCAGGCAATCCACTCACCTCAGCCTCCCAAAGGCGTGGGATTACAGGCTGAGCCACTGAGCCCGGCTTCCTTAACATTTTTTGACCAAGCTTTCCCATCTTCAAAGCGGCCTGTAGTCAGTGTGACCCCACTCCCTCGCTTCCCTTTGGGGAGTGAGAGCCAGGAATATTCATGTCATTTTGAGGACTTGCATGTTTGCACAGCCTTGGACATCTGGAAAGTGTGGTCTTCACTGACTCTGCATGGATAAGAGCCCTCTTGCATCCTTATATCTAGACACACTGAAAAATCAACACCAGACTCTGGAGTTAAGCAAACACCAAGTTTAAAGGTCTCCTTGGTTTGACCCGTCCCCTGGGCAGCCGTCCCTGTCCCCTGCCTTTTTGTGTGCAGTCGAGTCTTTGCAGTCGGTGCCCCTCAGGCCCTCTCAGCCTTTGTGATTGTCTGCAGTGCATGGTCCTGGATAAGTTTGAAAGCTACAGTGATGAAATTCAGCTCACCCATCGCGCCCTGTCTCTGCTGGAGGAAAACAGGTTCTGGGCTGGCGTGGTGTTCCCTGACATGCACCCCTGGACCAACTCCCTGCCACCTCACGTGAAGTACAAGATCCGCATGGACATCGACGCGGTGGAGAAAACCAATAAGATCAAAGACAGGTGACATTTTAGGCAGGGTGCTTTGGGTTCTCAGAGTCAGCAGGAAACTACATCAGTGGAGATTGAGGGACTGAGACTGGTCTCGCTTACAAATCCATACAATTGAGTTAAATAAAAGGAAATAAGATACCTTATAAAAAATCCTTGAGTGAGAGCAATTACAGAGTCACCTCGTGGCTAATACTCACAATTGAGATTTTAAACTGTGACTAGAGGACAGAATTGGGTATTTGGGGAACGTTTAGGGAAGGGCTTCAAGAGAATGAGCGCTGTCACCCTGTGCTAGGGAGGGGTGGGTGAGCTCATGTTCCTGTTCCCATCCTCTGCCCCTCCCCGCTCTGTCTTCTCAGGTACTGGGATTCTGGTCCCAGGGCTGATCCTGTGGAAGATTTCCGATACATCTGGGGCGGGTTTGCCTATCTGCAGGACATGGTTGAACAGGGGATCACGAGGAGTCAGGTGCGGGCCAGGGCTCCCGTTGGAATCTACCTCCAGCAGATGCCCTACCCTTGCTTCGTGGATGACTCGTGAGTCCCAGGCTCCTGATCCTCCTCCCTGACGTGCTCACCGGGGGGCTGGGGTGGGCTCTGGGTGATCCAAGGCCTCAGTGGAGAGAGCCCCAGGGACAAGGGCCAGACTGGGGAGCATGGAGTGCTGACTGAGTGACCTCCTTCCCCCAAGCTCCAGGCAGGGGCAGATGAGCCAGTACAGTGGCGGGGAGGGAAGAGAGTTGTGTTGTAGGTGGAAAAAGGAAGGGGAAGTCAAAGCAACGAAATGAGATTGGGGAGGAGACTGAGGGTGCTTAAATCTCCCACCATGTAGTATGCGAGCCATGCGGAAGGGCTCTGGTCCGTGTTTGCCCAATGACTGCCCATCAGCAAGTTTGGACTCTGCATGGCAGGGAGGTCTGATTCCTGGGAACCTCAGAATAATGCAGCTCCTTCCCTGATGAACCTTCCAATGAGTTATGTTCAGTGACAATGTAGAGGAACGTGCTGAAGGAGCTCAGGCCCTGCCTCCCTGACTACCCCCAACCCAGGCCTATACCTCTGCCGGCCAGGAGCAAAGCCAAGCAAGCAGCCTACTGTTTTGCTGAATGTGGACTTGGGGTATGGTTGAGAGTGGGATGGGGGTGTGGAGTGGCTGGAAGGGCTCATGTGCTCTTACAGAGGGGGTTAGAAACACTCCCAGCACAGCATAGAGACCTACAGTTGGCTTAGGGACTCAGCATCCAGAAAAAAAAAAAACCCAGAAAGGCCACCACAGGGTGCATGTATGTGTCTGTGGGACTCAAGGAGGAGAGAAGCGTGCAGAGGAAGAGTCAAAATTGCCAGCTAGAGAGACAGTAACATAAATCCCAATATAGACACAGGAGACTGTCTCTAAATACTTGGCAACTGGTTCTCCAGCCTCAGCTCTACAGAAGATGAAAGAGGTAACAGTGGCCATGTTTGGGGTTGGACAATGGGCAGAGATGGAAAACAGATCCCAGGTTCACTTTTAGGATCAGAATGGGCCGGCAGGGAAGTGAGGTGGGTGTGGGGTGGCAGTAAGGGATGGCATCATTTGGTGTGGAAGAGTCCCCTGGTGGCCAGTTCTAGAAGTGAATGTTTTATGAATGTGTGGTTCTCTCCCTGGGGCCATTTTGAGTGAAACCCTCTCACGTTGGGATTGGACTCTTCCTGTGACAACATCCAACAGTTTTCACTAGCTAATAATCCCAAAGGCCTTATTAGCACATAAAGCACAGAGAAAACATGTATAAAGTTCACAATAAGGCAATTTCAGTTTATCAAATCCATCCTCCTTGATGGGTGGATTATCCCGGGGTCAACTCCATCTGCACATGGCAAGTAGCATCAGTGACTATTGTATCACTGATATATCGATGGACCACTTGCCTTCTGAAAGTGCCACAATGATTATTTATTTTGTGCCCCTTTCTGCATAACTAGGGTTTAACCTTCCAGGGCTGACGTTGGGAAGCCCAAGTACTGCTCTCACCACCACCACTTCCCCTCATTTGTGCCCCACCCTCTTGGGCTTAAGTGTCAGTTAGCAGGTATCTACCCATTCCATTCCCCTCCACATAACCAAGTTTGTAGTTGTTTCCTTGCAAGGTCTTACAGGGAGCCTCTATACTATGTGATACAGATGGTATGATTTTATTTACACATTTTACTCATAGAGCATTCTCCTGGGCCAACTTGAATGCCCTCATCTTGTTCTAAAAAAGTAATGCTTTGGGACCAACATGGGTGTATTAAAAAGATTCCTGCCCATTGAATGCCCAGGAAGATTATTCTGCTTTCCTTTTCCCCCCACCTGGGCTTTATTCTCAACACATTCATTCAACAAACACTTATTCTGACTCTACTACATATAGGGCACTCTACTATTCTACTTTTCTTCTCTTGCTTTAGTTTTATGATCATCCTGAACCGCTGTTTCCCTATCTTCATGGTGCTGGCGTGGATCTACTCTGTTTCCATGACTGTGAAGAGCATCGTATTGGAGAAGGAGTTGAGACTGAAGGAGAACTTGAAAAATCAAGGTGTCTCCAATGCAGTGATCTGGTGTACCTGGTTCCTGGACAGCTTCTCCATCATGTCAATGAGCATCTTCCTCCTGACGCTATTTATCATGGTAAGCTAAATGGAGAAGGTCCAGAAAATCTTAGTTTTGTTCCTCTCACCTTTCCTCCTATTAATGAACTTTTACCTGCATTAGTCATCTGGTTCCCAAGGAAAGCATGACATCTAGCTTCCCAACCTTTTCAGCCAAGGGGGAAAACTCTCTGAGAGATAAAGTCTCCCCAAGGAGCCACAATCACAGCATCCTCCCTTCTCTTACCTCCTGCCCAAGGAACCCCTGTACACGTAGACTTTCCAGCTCATTCCATGCCTATCTGAAGAAGTTGCTATTAGCAGCGTCCAGCACAGGGTGATTTGTGTTCAAAGGGATCTTCTCTTGCCAAACACAGAAGAAATGAGTTCAGGAAGTGTTTTCCTGGGATTACCATTTCAACAACTGGCTAGAGTTGAAATGTGGAAACCCTCTTGAGTGGTATTAAGAGAGGAGACCTGGACTATTTATTAATTACCATCATAGTCACCCCATTCTTGGCTTCACTAAAACTTCTGCTGCCTGCAAGATCTCCGAAGCATCTCTCTTTTAAAGGATGAGATTTGGAGTCTACCCTTTCTCAGTAATGAGAGGTTTCTATAGGCACAGGCAGCATCTACTGGTCCATCCTCTGCAAACTTGCAACTCTCTTGAGAACTAGACTTGGAAATAAAACATTATTTCACAATGCACTGCTATCCTCCTTTTTAGCTCCTTCATGGTAGATGATCTTTTATACTTGTTGAAGATAAGGACATAAAGTTAGGTTGCTGTTGGTATTTTATTGGATGGAATTTGGTGTAGTCTTTAAACATCAGGCTTTGCAAGTTTCTGATGTAGTCTCATCAAGCCTGTTCTGCCTCTTCACCATTATCATATTAAGTGCTCCTCCACACTAGACAATAGGTATGGTGTCCCACAGGCTGGATGAATGTTTTCCAGCCCATGCTGGACCATGCCTGGTGCCCACCTGATCCAAGAATGTTCCATCACATATCCTGTCCAACCAACACATATCCAGTTAAACCAAACCCTGCTCCTTCTCTTTCAAGTAAAATGTGCTAAGTCTGAAGGTTTTGTTTTTTTTTTAGTGTTGCACTCTGACCCAGTGAGCTGTTGTCTTGGCCATAGCCTGTGCTAGAGTCCTATCAAAACAAATGTTGAGGTCACACTCCTTGTAGAGGTCATTCTGCTCAAACATCCTGACCCCACCTGGATGTGACTTTAAATTTGCAAAGGCTGCCAAAGCTCTACAGAGATGAGGATAGAAGCCGAGAGCTTGTCTTTCTCTAGGGGTCCCTAGTTCTTTCTGATCCCTCAGTCTGCTACTTTTCCCAATACCAAGATACACTCTGTCCTCAGAATTCAAGAAGTCAAAATGTATGAACTTCTGACTTGTAATGGCCATAAGACTTTGCCTAACTTGTTGTTGATAAGTGACATTGAGGTTTTTCCTCCTAAGAATGGACCATTAGGACTTCAAAGACTTTAGGACGTGAGGTAAAGAATGTTCTCCAAGGGTTTTTCGCACAAAGGGGTTTCTCCTTGTGGGAACCAGAACATTGTTCCAGTGATGACGGAAACAGAGTTTTCCACATCAAAATAGAGTTTTCCTTTGAATGCCTCTCCCATCTTTTCCTCATCCCTTCCTCTCCAGCTCAACTATGCAGGAAAGAAGCTGGAAGCAGGGATAATGGGAGGTTCCCTTGTTATTCAAGCCTTTAGGAACAAAAAAGAAGAGTGGTCATTAGAGAAAGCCAAGGCCGGTGAAACTGTAGCATCCACCAAGTGACTTACATCTCTGACTTAAGGTGATGAGAAATTATACAGTCCTAGAAGTTGGCAGGACTTTGTTTTGGGCAAAAATTGATAAAAAATTTATTTCATTCTTCTGAGGACAGCCACAGCTACCTTAATATTCTTCCATCCAACAGCCACATGTCCTGTCACTTGGTTTCATGGAGTTATGTGTGTGTGACACGGAGTACTCTTTGACTCACAAAACCAGGAGCTCTGATTCTACTTTTGACCGTTACTTAGAGTTTCTCAGACTTCAGTTCTAGTTAAGCATGGCTCTCTTCTGCTCCCCTTGGCTATTTATTTTATTCTGTCTTTCAGTCTGTTCTGCCAGTGCCCGGCAGGCACAAGGGTGGGAGAAGAAAGAGGGACAGCAGACAAATGACACATTTGTCCCACTCAGCTCTCGCCTGCCTGTGACATTGCTCCTTGGTCTCTCTTTTCTACTGAGAGGAACCCAAAACTTCAGGGAACCACTGTCAATTGACCAGACTCCTTCATGAGATGGGCCTATTTGTACCTTTGTGTTCCCAAGAAAAGCACAGGATGGCCCATATGTACTCACTGATATGTGCAGAGAATGAAACACCTCATTAAGGACAACTGAGCAGGTCGACTATATTTGAAAATCTCAGTCCATCCTATCATGTCATTGGACAGCAGTTCACTTACAAAAGTTGCTGGTTGGGTTTTATTTTCTACGTAGCCAAAGTGACTGACTCATTAGTTAACATGACAGATACTGAGTATTGCCCGTAGGGTCCACGAAATATATTTTTGTGATATTCATAGATGGGAGGATCATCTACTTCCAAGTGATTTGGATTAGTTACTGATAGTTTCACCGATATGAGTGGCAAGTCTCCGAATAGAAGTATACACAATGGAGTCGGCAGGCCAGGCCCTGGGCAAGAACATCAGCCTTGCCCTGGGTCATCTTCCATGCCCTCTTTTGTTCCTCATCTGCTCAGTCTCATCTACCCAGGCCCCTGCTGCTGCTCCAAGACCTTCCTTGCTCTGGGCATATTTCTTCACACTACCCACTTCCTGCCAAGGATTTGCTTACTTCCTGCATAATAATTGCTGTTAAAAGGTCAATGTAGCCGGGCTCAGTGGCTCAACTTGTAATCCCATGCCTTTGGGAGGCTGAGGTGAGTGGATTGCCTGAGCCCGCGAGTTCAAGACCCGCCTGGGCAACTTGGTGAGACCTCATCTCTACAACAAATCAAATTGAGCCGGGCGTGGTAGTGCACGCGTGTAGTTCCAGCTACTTGGAAGGCTGAGGCGGAAGGATCACCAGAGCCCAGCAGGTTGAGGCTACGGTGGCCGGGAACGGCCACTGCACTCCAGACTGGGTGACAGAGTGAGACTCCAACTCAAAAATAAAAAATAAAAAAAATTTTAAAAAAGATAAATGTACACACATTAAAAATTTTAAGACTTTATTTGAGCAAACAAACATTCACAGACAACTCCATACCACATGACTCAGGGCTCCACTGAGGGGGCAAAGTAGCAAGACAAAGAAAGACAAGGAAGATACTTGATTGGTTAAAGCAGAAAGACCCTGGTGAAATGAGCTGGCAGTTTCTGATTGGTTAAGTGACTCCGAGTCGGGGTTTAGTTTCCTTATGTAGGAACCCAGAAGGCTGGATTCCTCTCAACCTAATGTCCTCTCAGTTGTTATTTTATTTTATTTTTTTTAGTTAGAGTTTCACTCTGTCGCCCAGGCTAGAGGGCAGTGGCATACTCAAGGCCAACCCAGCCTCCACCTGCTTTGCTCCAGTGATCCTTCCGGCTCGGCCTTCCAAGTAGCTGGAACTACAGGCACGCACCACCACGCCCGGCTAATTTTTCAATTTATTGTAGAGACAAGGTCTTGCCAAGTTGCCCAGTCTGGTCTCGAACCCATGAGCTCAGGAAATCCACTCGCTTTGGCCTCCCAAAGTGCTGGGATTACAGGCTGAGTCACCGAGCCTGACCCCAGTTAATTTTTTAACATGGTTAATGACTGATAGGCAGCCTAACTTGTCACCTCTCCAAGGGAATATGGCATTCATAGGATGGAAGGAACTCAATGCATTGAGCAGGTGTTGTGAACATTTGGGCACTAATAACAGGCTGGTGGGAGAGACCCCTGTGAGCAGAAGGCTGTGGGACCATGGCAGCCCTGAGTGGGAAGCTTCCCTGGACATGGTGGAATTGCTGACACGGGACCTCTTGGTTTCAGCATGGACGGATCCTGCATTACAGTGACCCGTGCATCCTCTTCCTATTCCTGCTGGCCTTCTCCACCGCCACCATCATGCTGTGCTTCCTGCTCAGCACCTTCTTCTCCAAGGCCAACCTGGCCGCGGCCTGCAGTGGCGTCATCTACTTCACTCTCTACCTGCCTCACATCCTCTGCTTCGCCTGGCAGGACCGGATGACAGCCGAGCTGAAGAGGACGGTGGTGAGCGGCTGTGGGCTCTCAGGGCCTGACATGTTTCCCCTGAAGGGTCTGTAGCCTTCCTGGAGGCCCCACTGGCCTGCTGATGAGGTCCCTGTGGCCTTTGAGCTCAAAGGCATGTAAAATTAAAAGGTTCAAGGCAGGTTAAAAGATTTGGGGCGAAAGGAGGCATGGTGTTCCCCCCATGAGCGACCTGGCAGTGACTCCTCACCAAAGCTGCCCTGGGAAGTCATTAAAAAACCAGCTCAAGCTGGGCTCGGTGGCTCAGTCTGTAATCCCATGCCTTTGGGAGGCTGAGGTGAGTGGAT